TGTTTAAAAGTTAGCGCTAAATAACAATAACAATTTGAATTTCTTAAAGTAACAGGTCGTGTTATGATACAGTGTGATAACATATTGATAAGATTTAGATCAGCTTCTACTGGTAGTCAGAGAACGATGTTTGGCTAACTATTCAAATTAAAATCGTGTTAACATTTCAATCAATAAGCAATACATATCTTTGGTATTTTAAAGATACTTTTTTCCCAGAAATTCTTTTGCAATAAAAATAATCTTTAAATAGAGTGCACTAGAACGCTTCATGATGAAACATACAAAAATGAGATAAATCTTCAAAGGTACATGCCTATCACTTTTCTTTTTACATAGTTTAGCACTAATTTACAAACTTATATCCTAAAAACAAAGAGTAAACGACTTGCTTTTCCTTTTTGTGTGTTTCTCAGTCTAAATGTTATCTTTCATCATTATTTCTGTACCAATGCATGGTTATAGTTTTCATTGTTGAATAATCTGAATTTCAGAACTATGATTGAAATGTATTCAATTTGTATTTATCTACCACTTTTAAAGACAGTTGAATCTCGTATTTGAAAGATTTCAGACAAATAAAATTAGAATTCGAGCAAGAGTTTTCAATTTGTCTACATCTGCTCTTCTTCTTGTTTCAAACCGATTGTCGGCACCTTCTTCTCCTCCTTCTTCATGTAAGACCATTCAATTTACTTGTATGGCTTGAAGATGTACACACCATTCTCTCACTTTCTTATTTCCCAGGATCAAAGCCATCGATAGATTATAAGACTTGCAGTCTTCTCCAATGTCTTGCTCTCTACAATCTATAGAGAGTCTTCTATTATATTTCTGACATGTTTAATTTACTTAGCAAGCGTTCACATCATAAAAACAAACAGATGCTACTTGATTACAAAAGAAAATGTCAGGCAGATTCAAACCTTTGTGTGATTCATAATAATAGAATATTTTCCAAAGAATGAAACAAATTATTCACAACACTTCTGTTACACATACTTAAGTAATTGAAGAGAGTAAATGAAAATTTTTATAAATCAAAGATGTTAAAATTGTATTTGGACTTGATTGATGTGTAAGAAAAAATAGAACAATAGTACACTCTTAAACGGGTTATGAAACTTGGATATATTCTAAAATGTCAATGAAAATTTGATTGAAGTTTAGTATGCTAGGTTTTTTTTGGAATGGAATCCTTCCAAAATAAAGTGTAACATAGACTTTGTTATAAGTGTCTAGTACACTTGAATAAGTATGATTATCATTGAAGGACGTTTATAGAAAAAGCGCAGTTAAATAGACATTAAGAGCTTTTTTTGGGATCATTAGTGTTTTTTTTTGAAGCAATCTTTGATTTTTTCGTGCTATTATATAATATCGGTAGAAAAATTTTAGATGACTTTTCAAATTGAATTATTTTTTTCACATTATTCGAAAGAAATGAAACGGCGTGCATAGAAAAAGCAAAACAAAACGAACTCCATTTAGATAAATAAAACTCTCTAAAAGTTAGACATATGAATGGAAATATTTATTTTATGCAAGACTATTAATAATGTTCGTATGAACTCTTTATGGATTTCATGTTTCGTAAAACAATCTTTTTGAAAGACTTCCAGCGTCAAGCGCTCTTTTGAATATGATATTTTGAAAAGAAAACGTATTTATCAAAAGAAATAATTAACAGTTTACAGGAAAATTTTCAGCTATCTCTCATAAAATAAACATTTCACTTCATAGATAATTTACTTTGAAAAAGTTTCAATTATCTAAATAAAGTTCCTTTTTTTTTCTTTTCTCTATTTATATGTTTTTACTGCTTTTCAATAGTCGTGGAAATAAAATGACTCAATTGAAAAGAGTATCGAAAAAGTCTCGTGTAATATTATGCATTGTAATGAAAAATTTATTCAATCATCGATTGCTATTTTTTGTGGTTAAACTAAAATAATTTTATTGTCTTACCAAATATTTATGTAGTAAGAATAAAATAATCCTACCAATTTCTTGAAACAAGATTAGGGTGTGGGTGGGTTTCGGTGAAGAGAAGATGAATGAAAACACCCAGACGCACACACAAAACAAGACTATTATAAAAAGAATGATGGTCTTATATTACAGATGCTTTGACTACAAGTACAGCAACTACAAACCAAGCAAGAAGAAGAATATACTCCAGCGAAGTCCGAGTAATTTCAAGAATACATTAGTGTTATGTTCTTCTTTTATACCTATTTTCTTTTGTTCATAGGACAGTACAGCTCCAGCGGCCAACGTTCGTACCGAAATCAATCAAGTTAGTTCCATTATTCCACGGGTCAGATGAAAATCATTCGAAAAAACGGATATTCATTAAATATCTTATACTTTTAGATATCGACTATGAAGATCGACCCTCGAGAAAATAGAGGTAGGATATTGATGATAACTGCCTTCAATATGAGATTGATTATTGGTCATGCAATTTATTTCTTTGAAATCACTGACATTTTTTAGACGCAATGAATGAATAAGAGAAATTCTAAGGTTATATAATCGTATTCTGAAGAATTTTTCTCGCATGTTGACAGTACTCTCATGTGTAGTTACTCGATTGTTTGGAATGAATGCCACAATTCATTCGTAGAGTGGAATTGTATTTCACTAATGAAAATGGGAGTTTTACATTTCTGGTATTTCTACCAGAAAATGCCAGTGAAAAAATGTGAATATGAATAGTTTTTAAATAAAAAGAATGAAACGAATCGGTGTTTTAAGGAAACATTGTACTCTCACATTGCCTCGACTAAGGAATAAAGTTGGAGACATTGACTTCCCACACATTTGATTGAATCGTTCTTGACAATGTTCTCTCAAAGTAAGTGGAACTACAAGAAGCTCATTATCTAATTGAACATCAGGTAAATGTCAATAACAAACTATGATTTTGTGGTTCTTGTAATGCCATATGATAGTGAATAAGATATTTATTTATCCTTCATGTTCTGAAGGGTACCATCGGAGATGAGATATTTTTGTCAAGCAACAATTGTACACATAGGAGTTGGGTGAGGACGAATTTTTTTTTGAGAAAATATCTTGGTCTCGAAGATTAATGATACTTAATCATCAACACTACATGATGGTTCACATTTCTTCAAGTCATGAGAACAGAAAAATCTATGATTCGAAATCAGCCTATTTTAACCGATTGGGTATGTTGTCTTAGAAACTATATTTAAATGTTGTATGGGAAAATATATTTAGTTTTTTCTTTTTCGTTGAGCAACTCCAATCTTGATGAAATTACAATAAAATAGTGAAAGTTTATAGTTTCATTAATTATTTGAGTGCTCGAAGAAACTTGGACTTTTCATGGTTTTGTTATAAGTATAATTTGTTGACTTTTATGCTTTTATCTATTTCAAAGAGTTTCCGAACTTAATTGACGTGTTTGAAATCTCTGAATTTCATTATTTCATTGAATTTCGACGATTCACGACAGTCGTGGACTTACCAAAGTCATGTTGGTTACATATCTTTCTAAAATAGCTAAAGAATATAATACAATAGACAAATATAAGGAACAATAGAGAATTTCAAGCGTCATTAGGATATATAGCGGAATTGTAGAATCTGCCACTAAAAACAAAACTTTCCTCACTACTGAAGTTAACAAGAGGTTCTTTTGGAAGATTGTGAAAGTTTTTTCTCAGAAGGAAAAGTATCAGATGCCAAAAAAAAAATTGGCGCGATTCTTTTTCCATAGATTTGACGTATTCAACAGTTATTTTATATTTTGATTTTTATGCCAGTAAATAGAGAATTTAAATTTCTACAAAACTGTTCAAAGTAGGCAAGTAAATGGAAATTTGGTGGAAACTAGAAAGCCTACTTTAACAGGAATCAGATACTTCTACATATACTCCACACTACAGACCATTTGACGTCGTGAAAAGTTTTTACAAACATCAAGTAGAGTCTAATGTCAGCTAATTAAAATTAGTCTGAAAATAGTATCATATATGCAAGCCACATTTTTTTACAGTATCTACTAAAGTGAAAACAGGAAATAAAAGACGATTAGGGTGTGGGTGTCTCTATTCTTCTCATCACAGCCACAGCCACACCCACCCACCCACACCCACCCACACCCACCCACACCCACCCACACCCACTCGCATCCACACCCATACCCACACCCTCAAGATAGCTCGATCCGTCCTAATACTTATTATGATAAATTCATCGCTCTTTCTTGGAAAACCTCTTTACACCTATCTAAAAGTGCTGTTTTCATATACCGCGAACATTCTGCTTTTTAGAATCTAACTGATCCTTGAACACACACAAGTTGTCATAGATCTTGCCAGAGTCTCTTAAGGAGAGTGAACAAGATTCAGACTTGTGTGGGAAGTGACAGAACTCTAAAAATCAGTACGAAGTCCTTTTTTCATAGGAACCTAGGAAGAGTCTCCAGAATTTATATGTGCGGCAAAACTAGTCTCGAAAGTTTTACCGAGTTCCTCTCGAAGAAGGCAAATGTCTTCTTCATAGCTCTTTCCGCCGCGAGAGAGGGAGATTTCTTCGATAACGATGATTCCTTTTCTTTTTCGTTAATTGTAGTAATTCCCAATATTTCAGTCGATGCCCGATGGACACAGAATGGGATGATCGTTGCTGGAGGTAATGGAGAGGGCAGTGCCACAAATCAACTCTCGCACCCTCTTGCTCTCTTTGTTGATGATGATCAAACGATGTTCATCGCTGACTTCTACAATGCTCGTATCATCCAATGGAAGATGGGTGATACGAATGGACAAGTGGTAGCTGGTGGTCATAACCCAGGATATCAATTGAATCAACTGTATAGTCCAACCGATATGTTTATCGATAAAGAGACGGATAGTCTCATTATTTGTGATTGAGACAATCAACGAGTCGTACGATGGTCTCGTCGTAGTGGCACAACTCAAGGAGAAATCCTCCTAGACGATATCACTTGTTGGGGATTGACCATGGATGATCAGAGATATCTCTATATCTCTGACGAAAAAAAGTATGAAGTAAGACGATATCAAATAGGAGATAAGAATGGAACTCTCGTTGCTGGTGGTAATGGCTACGGTGCTGCTCTCAATCAACTCAGCTGGCCGACTCACATCTTTGTCGATCAAGATCAGGCTGTTTACGTGTCAGACAATTGGAATCATCGTGTTATGAAATGGAATAAAGGTGCGACAGAAGGAATTGTCGTCGCTGGGGGTCGAGGTCAAGGAACTGCTCTGACACAATTGTCGGTTCCTCGAGGACTATACGTCGATACATTGGGTACCATCTATGTGGCAGAATGGGGGAATAATCGAGTTATGCGTTGGCCTCAAGGAGCAAAACAGGGCAGTGTCATTGTAGGTGAAAATGGTCAGTTGGATTCTCCCGAGGGTTTGTCCTTCGATCGTCATGGCAATCTCTATGTCGCCAATGAAGGAAATCATTGTGTTCAACGATTTTCAATTGAATAGACTCAAAATGATGGATTATTTTTTTTCTTTCCTTTCCTTGAAATAAATAATATTGAATTGATGAAATTAATGTTTATTCTATTCGCACGCGCCGTGACGAGCGTAAAGCTCATGCACACACGCGAAGACTCATATCATTCACATGCCACCCATTCAATGACATGTGTCAATGAGTCTAATAGTAGCCCGGTCGTATGCCACGGACGCCAGAGTGGTTTTCTGCCCAGTGTTTAGGGTCTATCCGAAAGAGGGTGTTGGTTTGGGTGCATATGGATTAAGAAAATACTCCTACAGACATCTACACCACAGTCCACCTACACACCCGCACACCCTCATTCACACCCACACCCTTGCATGATTCTAGTATACTTCTTGGGTGTAGGTGTGGGTTAACTAAAGACTTACATTTACACCCACACCCTTAGTTAAGCAAACTGCCATCTATCGTAAATATTTTTTTTCTTTTTGTATAGACAGAATTCAGTGGTTTCATTCATTATCTTGGTGGATCTGTTCACAAAAAATTAACGTGATCATTTATAACGATTTGTTTTATACATTCTTTAGATAGCATTTAATATGGAAAGAAATGAAATTCTAACGAAAGCATGGTTTTTATGTTGTTGGCATGAGCGAAATAATTGTCAATTTAATCCTTTTTTGTTCTGAACTTATTTGAATGCATTGTGTCAAACCATTATTTCATCTTATTTTATTTTATTTTTTTGCTTTTATTAATGATAATAGTTATGGCAAAAATTAGATTTACAAAAGAAACCATAAAATGATCAAATCTTAATAAGCTATATATTTTTCTACGATTTTACTCATCATATACAGTAAAACTTCTCTAATATGAGCATCATTGGCACCAGCCAAAAGTACTCAGTTTACCGGGGTGCTCGTTATGGGGAAGTTTTCAATTTCTTTTGTGAAAAACTGAAATAATCACTTGAAAACGCTTTCCAGTTGAACGAATTGTTCTTATTCTACTTTTCAAAAATTTATTTAGTTAAATGAATTTCTCTTTTCTGAAGTAACAACTTTTTTTACAATACAAAACTAAGTTTTTTTTAAATAGCCATAAATTGTACTTTGTACAAACATTTTTGAATCAAGATAAATGTCTGTAAGCTTTGATTCTATATCAATATAGCTTGGTGAAGCTGTGGATATTTCGTAACAGAACATAAGCAGAATCGTTAGATCATTTCTATTGCTTCAGATAGCTTTGGTGGTGTTTCTTCATTGGTGTTTTCTTCTTCATCATCATCTAATTCATTCGTTTGAGTAATACTATCAACCATAGCAAGTTTTTCAAAACTATCATCGCATTCGTTGAATATTGGAACATGAGAATCAAGACTTATAAGTTCACTAGCAGTCATCGTTGAACCACTAATCACAGTATGCTTCAATAATCCATCTAATACTGTTACTGCCTCATTAGCTACAAAATCTATTGTAGATAAATCATTTAATGTTGATGATAAACCATTAGTAGCACCAGAATTAATTATACCCGGTAAATTTTCGATTTTTTTCTCTTTAAAACCAGCAGCTGTAAACGTATTTTGAATTGTTGACTGAGTGACTGATTTACACGCTGAATCACTCCAACATATTGCATCAAGTGCAGTAATGGTAATATTGCTGGGTGTTTTTACTGCTGACGATCTAGCAATAATATGCTTCACCAAACATTTTCTATAATTTGCCTTGAATAAATGGATAACTCCTTGATCAAGTGGTTGCATTTTTGATGTCGTGTTGGCAGGAAAAAATTGTAATTTAACATTAGTTAACTGAATATCAGGTGGATGGCAAGAAGCATTATCAATAAATAACAAAATTTGTTGATTTTGTTTTTTCATAAATAAATTTAAATTAGTTAACCAATTTTGAAATAATTTTGCGTTCATCCACGCTATTCGATTTACAGCCCACTCAACAGGAAGTTGTTGAACATTTATGTGTTTAAAGCAGCGTGGCTTCACCCTAGTCGAATATCTTATAAGCAAGATCTGAAAATCTTGGGATCGGTAAGTAAGATCTTGGCAAGATCTGTACGAGATGTCTGAAATTTTCCTGATAAATAATTTCTTATGTATATCAGATTTATCTGTCTCATAGATCGTGTTAAGATCAGTTACAAGATTTCAAGATGTCAAGATCAGAGCAGAAAATTGAATTCTAATTATCTTGTTTCAAGATCTTGAGAAAAATATAAAGCTATATCATCAATTATTTATTTAATCCAAAATTATTCAATTCCTCATATTTACTCACATAGAAGTATACTAATTCATTTCAGAGTTGCTAAAATATTAAATGAAGTATATAATGGTAGTGATTTCTGTGAACCAATGAAATTAAAGAGATATATAACAAAGAGGAGAAATAAGACAATGAAAATCAGTCGATAAAATGCAAATCAAGTTTTTCGTGTGATTTTTCTGGCTGCTTACATTTTATGTTATGGTCTTTTAGAAGTCTATTTCAACAGATATAAACTCTAGATACAAATACATCGTAAAGAACTACATATTACTTACCGTTAAAGTAAAAAATGAAGAACATAATCTTCTTAATGTTTTTTTTTACTAAGTTTTGAACACTTTTATTCTTATTACATCACTCTTTTCATATTTAGTGGTTTTTAAGATGTAAACCAGGTGAACATATACAATAGAAAGTATAAGTATTCTGTCTAAGCTGCAATGAATCAAGTGGTATGATTAGATTTTAATGTTTAGAGCGAGCGATCTAAACTATTTTTAAAATCTGTTTTTAGCTTTTATTGTTTGCATTATCTTTTTATCAATTTCTTTTTGATCAATCTTTGTTTTAGATGAACATGTATTGCTGTAAAAATACTGCCCGTCGTGCTCGAGAATGCATGCGAGAAAACCGATTAAAAAAGCATACTAATGAAATATCAGAACTAATGCAAAATGAAGATCTTTCTGTAAATGATTCAAACATAATGGAATATGATGCTACTGATAATACATATAATAATACCACTGCGTCAACTGTCTGTGTAATATCTTCACTACTTGATGAAACGTTAGATGAAATTGAATCAAGTTTCGGCGATGTTAATGGTGAAGAATTAGAAGTCGAAAGTGATGATAATGATAATGACGACATCGACGAATTCATTTTTTCGTATGATATGAACAATCAAACCAAATTATTTTCATCGTCTCCTTTATCGATACATGAAGCCTGTTTTATTATTATCAAATTAGCTCGCCGTTTGAATTTGAATAAGAATGATACCAAAAAATTTTTGGATGGTATTCGACATCTTTTCCCAGCAGACGTTAAATTACCACGCACTGCCCAGTCAGTCAACAATAGAGAAAAAACTCGTTTTTACGCGTTGAAATGTGCGCTTTTAACTTTTTGTAACGCGTTTTCCAGCAAAAAACGACTTTTAAACGCTTGAGCAACGCATATAAACGCGTTTGTTTCACTTAAAAGACAAAATATCGCGTTTATACATGTTAGAATGTGCGCTTTTACGGTTTTTCGAAGCGTTTTCAAGCGAAAAAAAACGTTAAAATAATGCGTTTAAACGCGTTTTTTTCCGATCTTGACTGCCTGGGTGTGAAAGAATTAATGGAGGTCATCGGTATGTAAAATATTTTACTCAATGATTCTCCTGAGAAAGAATACTAAATTTACGAATAAACTGTATTTGACACCATTGTAAAAAGTGAATTTTGATGTATTTATTGAGTTAAATCAATTTTCTAGTT